TTCCCGCTGTAGCGATGTTGTTGTTGTCACGCGCTACCTGGTCGACGCTTCGTCATCAGTATCGGTGGGAGAGTTGTTGTTATGCTATTTCCACACTCAARCCTGCSGACGCACCGTCAGCAATATCGGTGGGAGTGGAGTGTTGACCGGATACGTGTTTACCGGTGTTAACTTATATATATGTATGTAGGAATCTTTTCTGTCTAAGAACATAAAAAAAACGTCTGTTCTTTGTCAATTCATAAAACATTTATTTACTTATATTTCTGTTAAATATTTCCTTATAAATTAATGTAGTTTATAATAGCTGTAGGTCGATGTGTTCGCTTCAACAGTCGCCTCAGAATGTCAACCTTTACTGTTCGCCAGCGTAATGACGCTTCTCCGAGCTGTACGCAAGCGTTCAGACGTTTCGATGAATTTTCGTTTCAGTCCAGAGTTGTAATTTGTCCTTTTCGTGTTCACTAACACAGTTTTCATCCTCCACTCGGCCGCCACATACATAACAGAAATTAATTAAAAAATATGAAATTATCAAGTAACGAAAAGAAATATAAAGAGGTGGTAAGGCTTTAAAATCCAAAATAAACTGCGCTTTTCGTTTTTTCTTCTTCTTGAGAAGCTGGATATCCGTTTTTCCATTTCTAGCAAGTTAATATTACAACATGTTTAGAATGTCGATAATTTTTCTCTACCTTACTTTCGCCTCTCTCTTCCATTCAATTGAAAATTTCAGAAAATGTAACAGTGTTGGTGAATAGCTGAAAATGTTTCAATGTGTTTGTGCAATTTGTTATCTCCGTATTGCAGGGTATTTGCTGGTTGCCATGATTATCAGCAGTGCCTTTCCAAACGTGCCGGCTGACGCTGCAGCACATCCCTGTGTCTCTCATGTTGCTGTAACGCCATTACAAATCGAATCAAAACAGTCTAATAGTACTTTAGGTACCTTGTATTCTGCATCACCAAAACAGCAACGGCGACAGTTTACCGTTATCGAACCGCTGATGCTAAGCAATTCTCATTTGTAAAATGCCGACCATCACATGTGTAAACGTACACAGTGGAACTTTGCGTTCAAAAAGATTATTTTTACGAACTGCGACTTTCCAGAATTATTCAATTAAAATGAGCAGACTAGAATACTCAAGATTGTGGCTTAAGGTTGTCGTGACTGGGCATGAGGCAGAGAAGGAACCTTCATATAGTGGTTCATCCATTGGCGGTGTCTCATTCATTCAACGTACACAGTGGAACCTTGCGTTCAAAAAGATTATTTTTACGAACTGCGAATTGTTCAATTAAACTGAGCAGACTAGAATACTCAAGATTGTGGCTTAAAGTTGATCGTGACTGGGCATGAGGCAGAGATGGAACCTTCATATAGTGGTTCATCCATTGGCGGTGTCTCATTCATTCCTCCATTCAATTGAAAATTTCAGAAAATGTGACAATGTTGGTGAACAGCTGAAAATGTTTCAATTAGGGTGTTCACAGTTCTATATTATCTGATGTGTTAATTTTGCCATCTGTTAACTTCAAAACATTTTACCACGTGGTAACTTTGTTTGTTGTTGTTTCCTATACAAGTTCGAAATAACAGTCTTAGGCAAAATTACTCTACTTTACTTCGTGTTTTTGTTTCYTGGTAAAGTGGCAACTTTGATCAGCTGACTATTCGCGTTTAGAAAAAATGGAAAGCAACACAGAAATACAGAAGGTAAACGCAATTCGCAATATTTTTATAGCAAATTAATTTTTAATTCTTGAATAAAAATGTCTCATTTAAATGGAAAGCAAAATATATTGAACGCACTCAGCTACAAATGTATACTGGACATAACCGTTAATGATTCTAGTATGTATATATACTTATTACATAAAATTACCTACCGAAGTTATTTTTTACAATTTTGTTAAAGGCAGTGACGAAGAGGATGACGATATCCTAATAAAATTTGCCATTGATGCAGCGCTTATTATAGCTAATCGGAGAAGTACCCATTTGGGTATACCAAAGTCTTCGCAATGGGTCAATAATGTTCTTCCCASATTTKATAGWGGCCGCATGCGACAAATGTTGCGCATAGAATTCTTTSAGTTCAACTATATATTATCCTTAATCAAGCAMGACCCTGTTTTCCAAAACAAAAATTTTGTTCCACAATTACCAATCGATCTTCAACTAAAGATAACACTTTTTCGTCTGGGATCAAGTGGAGAGAGTGCCTCTATTAGAAAGATTGCAACATTGTTCGGAATAGGCGATGGCGGAACAGTTACCAAAGTGACAGAGCGGGTTATTACCGCATTGATTAATTTAAAATCTACATTTTTATGTTGGCCATCTAGAGAAGAAAGGCAAAAGATTGTCACAAAAACAATGAAAGAGCTTCCAGGATGTATTGGCTATGTTGACGTCAAAAGAAATGAGAGATACATTCAATCAATATTTCTCTAAATATAGAGTACGTATAGAAAATTGTTTGTACGATTCCGATTAACGAACGAAACTAATTATAAAAATTGTTGTAGATGGATTTTGGCATGTTGTATCCTTCACAACATGCTGCTACAATTTARCTTAGACGAAAATCCTAGTTTAGAAAGCCAAGAAGAAACAGACTTCCCACAAGAAATTTATGAACACGACGACCTAAGRAAAGCTCTATCACATTTTGTAAACAATAAAGATATAATTATTTAATTTTATGTAGTATATATGTATAGTTTTATTTTTTAATTTTTAATTCCTCCAGTTATTTAAATTGAATTAGTTTCGTATAGAAATCTAAACTTTACAAATTTTCATCGAAATATTCAACTTTTTAGTCGACATTTTTAGCCTTTTTGGTATGCAGTTCAATAGCCTATTAAATTTTATTGAAATAAAAGRTGTTTAATATTTTTCTAATGAAGGTGTTATACATGTTTTCTTCATATAACGCGATTTATTTTCTATATGGAAGAAAATACTTAGGCCTGCGACATTTTTATTGCATTATTTTCATTTTTTCCATTTCAATTCTTTCTTTCATTTCCAATTCTTTCATAGCTATTCTCTCCCTCATTTGAATTTCCATAACTTGAATTTCCCTGTCAGCTTTTTTTCTACCAACTCTTTTTTTTAAATTTTTCTTTATCAAACAACAATTGTTGCTCTTTTAGCATTAATTCATTTTCCCTCATCTTAAATTCCTTCTCGATTCTGTCTTTTTTTGCATCCAATAAGCTGGAGTGTACATCGAGAACGTCTGATAGGGCTGTWCGCGAATAYATACCCTTTCGGACAGCCTTTGACGTAGAAGGGGTGACCAGAGGCTCGGGTAATGCCACGATTTCCTCGACGATTATATCAGAGGACGTGGCAACTTCTGGTGAACCAGTACATGCAATGTCCTCGGTATCCAATACAAGGCAGTTTGAAGTGAGCTCCCTATAGCCAAAAATGTCTTCTAMGTCATCGTACCGGGGACACATCCTTACGATCGCGTCTAAAAATGAAGTGTATTTGTAGGATATATACATTTAAAAATTTATGATGTGTAGAACCTACTTTTGGTAGTGTCACAATTATCCATGGTGCCACTTCCCGTTGCATTTTGCCCGGACTTGGCCTTGGTGTACTGCAATCTTAAGTTTTTYACCTTGCAACGCACCAGAGTCCAATGCAAGTCGCTGCCAGTTTGGTTCAAAAATCTTTTATAATAATGTTGGGCCGTTGGTTTCTCTAGTGGCCTGTTGTCCCTCAAAAAGTAGGGAGCCTTTCGAACACGCTTATGTACAACCTGCAATAGAACAATTATAGGCAGAATATTTTCATATTTATGTGGGATTTTATTATGTTTGATCTATAAAAAGGATTTAAATATTATTTAGTTTAATTTATTTTATCATCTATGTGGGATTTTATTATGCGTGATGAGGAGAATTGATGCGCGTCGTCTTTTATGCCACGTCGTTTCGCGTTCGTCGTTTTATTTCAACTCCCCCTGTTGTAAGCTCGTAGAATTCTTCTTCTTTCAAGGCGTSGGTGGATGGTGGATGTCGATGCTTCTTCTTATTTACTGTGTGCGACGGCTGTCGTTTAACCCTTTATCACCCACATTTATATTTAAAAATATTGCGAATTGCGTTTACCTTCTGTATTTCTGTGTTGCTTTCCATTTTTTCTAAACGCGAATAGTCAGCTGATCAAAGTTGCCACTTTACCAGGAAACAAAAACACTAATTGTGCGTTCACAGTTTAAATGTCAAATATCGGGCAAAGTTGCCACATATGAAATTTCCCATAAACTGTGAATACAATAAATGTGTTTCTGCAATCTGTTATCTCCGTATTGCAGGGTATTTGCTGGTTGCCATGATTATCAGTAGTGCGTTTCTGTAAGAAATCGACAATATACTCGATTATAGTGACGTCATTTCGATTCCATCCAAATATGTCGATTGATCCAGACATAAGTGTTTTTTTAAGCATAAGTCGACAAAATATGAAGCAGTGAGAGAAATGGAACGCCAATCGACAAGAAATCTCTCGAATCGGACTGACAACTTCATGTTTGAGAAACTATTATTGAGAAAAGTAAGCATTATAGAAATGTGTGCACAAATATTTTATTCTTATTAATAAATAAAAATTTATTGTGTTTCAGCTATGAGTTTATTGGTAATAACCAGAGCTGATAAAAATATGCACGAAAAAAAAATTTTTAAGCGCTATAAAATGTTTGATAAATATGCAAAATAAGCTTTCAAATATGCAAAAAAAAAAAAAAAAAAAATAAACGAATAATTAGTTTTTTAATTTTTATTTATGAAAGACTTTCATAATTTATTTCGACAATTAATTTTTTTTAATATTGTCGACTGTAAATGAACTTCGGTTGTCATTCAGTAAAGTGACATAAGAGGAAAAACTTCTTTCAACATCTGTTGAGGGGGCTGTAGGGGCATATTTAAAATAACTTATTTCTTTTGCAGATAATTTTTTTACATATTAATCAGTTATGTCTCCGTTTTGAAATAAAATATTTGAAAGATTCGTAATAGATTTAAAACCTCCTTTTTTTTTTTTTTTAAATATCATCATTTTTTTTAATAGTTTTTTTCATTAAGTTCATCTAATTGAAATTGAATGTCTTCAATGATTTCTACACTTTTATTCAAAGGCAATCCTTTTGTCTGTAACTTTTCAATGCTTGTTCCAATACAAGAGAAGGTGTTCTTTATGTGTGCTAACTCTCCTATTATCCCATGCTTGGCAAACGCTGATTTTAATTGAATTATAACCTCTGATTCTTCACTGTTTAAATCATCGACAACAGAGCGAACTTCTTCAAAGAAATCAAAACAATACTCTGCAGCACTTAGCCATGTACCCCAGCGAGTTGTACACTGCTGCGGAGGGAGTTTAACATCAAGTAAAACTCTTTTAAACTCGTGATGACGAGAATTAGCCTAAAATAATTGTATCTTGTGAAAAGAAGAGAAAATATATGCCCATGTTTACCTTTGAATAAATAGCCTTAGTTGTTGATATCAGTTTGTTTACGTTTGAAAACTGGAACCGAATAAACTCTGCTAATCTGTGGAGCCCATGATCAAAACAGGTTACGTGCAGCATTTTTGGGTATAAAACACTTAAAGACCTTTTTGCAGCGAGCATGTAAGCGGCAGCATCTGTCACCACAAGAAGGAGTTTTTCATATTCAATTCCTAAAACTAAAATTGTAATAATTTGTATGAAAGAAACACTGTAAGCACTCTCTTTCTGGCCATAATATTTGAAGCAAATCGTTTAAAAATCCAGCCATGCTACTTGCATTTGCTCTTTCAACTTTTGTTACGTTTAATAAATAGGATTTGCCTCTTTCTTCTGCACTATCATCCAACACTCCAAATATAGCAATCGTAATCAATCGAGCTAAACGAGCTAAAAGCTGCAATAGCGCTCAGCTATAACTATTGTAAAAGCAAGCAGAACTGCAGTACGGGCACTCCTTGTGGAAATCGAGCCTTTTATGGACACAGCAGTAAGAAGTACAATTATTCCAAACTCCACTAGGTTGTGTGTAGCGCTGCATTACTATGCTACAGGATCGTTTCTTAGGCATGTAGGTCAGGATTTTGTTTGCCCTATAAGTAAGGCCATGGTAAGCCGCATAGTGCATCAAATTACAGAGATTTTGCAAAATCATATGGCGAAACGTTACATCATTTTTCCAACTACCTTAGAGCAGCAGAATATTGTGAAGTAACGGCTTATAGCTGGCTTATCTTTATGTTCACTTCCAGGTTCTGACTGACGTCAAAATTAAGAAGAAACCACTTGCAGTAGAACACTGCTACATTAATCGAAAAGGATATTTTTCCAAAAATGTGCAATTAGCGACTTTGATTTAAATATCCTGGCGTGATTTGCAAAATATGGGGAAAGTATGCACGACGCCTACATATGGGAAAGCAGTACACTAAAGTCCCATATGCTGAATGAGTGCACTGCCAATGGGTCCACAGGATGGTTGATTGGAGACTCTGGATATCCGTTGCAGCCGTGGCTAATGACTTCATTCAGAAATGTAGAGAGTATTAGTCAACAAAGCTACAACGATTCTCACGCACGAGCTCGAAATTGTGTGGAACGCTTTAATAGAGTTTTAAAAAAATGATTTTAGTGCCTTTCCCAAGACCCTGGCCTAATGGTGAACCCCTCATTTGCAGGATCAATAATTAATGCATGCTGTACGCTACATAATGTTCGAAAGAGATATAATTTTCCACTTCCTGAAGTTGATCCACTTGAAAATTCTCCGCATGGAGACAATGGTTCATTACTTAACATTTTCAATGAAGGAAGAGCTATACGAAATACTATTTTAAGAAACCACTTTTGTAGTTAATTCACATACAGTGGTGTTCAGAAAAATATGACGAACACTCCAAATGGTACTGTTTGCAAATTATGTTTAACTCTTTATTTTTTATAATATATGTATATTATAGAAACAGTCGATTGTAGTGAACATTACTGTCCTTCCGGGAATAGATTTCAATGCAACAACAATTGGAGCGCGACTATGTAACCCCGTTTGAAACAGCTATTGGTGTACATACGCAAAGCCTTGGCCCCAACCAATGAATATAATATTTAGAAAATATGAATATTTTGCTGTGCCTACTCCTTATGCAACAGTCGCTAGAAGAAAAGGAATATTTATGAGATTTAAAGAACGTACAAATTTTATCGCAAATTGTTACCTCCCGTCATGGTTTCCAGCACAGCTCTCAGTGTGTCGTGAATTCCATTTAAAACACCCATGTGCTCCTTGTGTTGTCTCTCCAAAATCGCTTTTAGCTGCGCATGGTGATTTTCAATGAGACTGCTCGCCACTTCCACACAGCTTTGATTTGTGCGCTGTTTGCGTTGCTGTTTGTTTGGCACAACCTCAAGCACCTGACCCATTGCAACCTCTTCAAGTGCCTCCACTTCGAAGATGTCCAAACTGTCCGCGTTCGCCCAGAATTCCGAACGGATCACTAAAAAGCTTAGTTTTTAGTTTTGTAATATGTTACTTACGTCCAACCCAATGTTGGCAATAGCATCACCCTCATCGTCAATGGTAACATCGACCATTTCAGCAGTTGTCTGCAATATACACCAATTTTATTATCACATTTACAATCACAACTTTAAGTTCTGACAGACGTTACTCACCGACAAACCACATACCACGTACTTCTCTGTAAAGAAAATGCATCACATCTTTTTTAACTATTCATAGATAATATATTAACAAAAATATCCTTACATTTGCTTTAAATTTAACTAATTCCATTTTGAATGTGTGAGAAAACCAATCGACATTATTTCATTCAATTTGGTTACAGAAACACATTCAATCGAGCATTCCTACTGAAATGGAATTGGAACATATCAGCTGACTGACAAACAGCTTTGAGATCTATAAACTGATATAAACTGTCGCCGTTATCGAACCGCTGATGCTAAGCGATTCTCATTTGTAAAATGCCGACCATCACATGTGTAAACGTACACAGTGGAACTTTGCGTTCAAAAAGATTATTTTTAGAATAGAATACTCTAGAATACTCAAGATTGTGGCTTAAGGTTGTCGTGACTGGGCATGAGACAGAGATGGAATCTTCATATAGTGGTTCATCTATTGGCGGTGTCTCAGTTGTCGCTACGGGCGGAGGTTCCCGACCAGCCTAAAAGGGCGATAACCACGTGTCAGAAGACCTCTTTTCAGTTAATCATATTATACAAATAGTTTATTTAATCTTTAGTTTTACAAAGTTTAGAAAATAAAGAAATAATAAAATAGATTTCGCTGTTCGTTACGTGTGTATGCAATCGACGCCACTCGACGACTATCTTCATATACAGATGCCACTCCTTGGCTATTGCTATTTTGTACACAGGTTGCCAGATTGTTGACACACGTGGTAGTTGTTGTTGAGAGCGTGGTATTCCACCGCTATAATTAATTTTTTTTTTAACTAAATTTGCCATCTCGCTTGAGCCAAATTAATTTATACGTAAAGTAAAAATGAGTCAAAAAATATATTTGTGAGCTGTACCGAGATG